GAAAAAGGAGCCAACAAAATGCACAAGTGTAAATTCTCTGAACAAGGGCTATTGAATCGCCACCTCTTGGCGGTCCACAGCAAGAACTTTCCTCATATTTGTGTGGAGTGTGGTAAGGGTTTTCGTCACCCATCAGAGCTCAAAAAGCACATGAGAATCCATACTGGGGAGAAGCCGTACCAATGCCAGTACTGCGAATATAGGTCTGCAGACTCTTCTAACTTGAAAACGCATGTAAAAACTAAGCATAGTAAAGAGATGCCATTCAAGTGTGACATTTGTCTTCTGACTTTCTCGGATACCAAAGAGGTGCAGCAACATGCTCTTATCCACCAAGAAAGCAAAACACACCAGTGTTTGCATTGTGACCACAAGAGTTCGAACTCGAGTGATTTGAAACGACACATAATTTCAGTTCACACGAAAGACTACCCCCATAAGTGTGACATGTGTGATAAAGGCTTTCACAGGCCTTCAGAACTCAAGAAACATGTGGCTGCCCACAAGGGCAAAAAAATGCACCAGTGTAGACATTGTGACTTTAAGATTGCAGATCCTTTTGTTCTAAGTCGCCATATTCTCTCAGTTCACACAAAGGATCTTCCGTTTAGGTGTAAGAGATGTAGAAAGGGATTCAGGCAACAGAATGAGCTTAAAAAGCATATGAAGACACACAGTGGCAGGAAAGTGTATCAGTGTGAGTACTGTGAGTATAGCACTACAGATGCCTCAGGCTTTAAACGACATGTTATTTCCATTCACACGAAAGACTATCCTCACCGGTGTGAGTACTGCAAGAAAGGCTTCCGAAGACCTTCAGAAAAGAACCAGCACATAATGCGACATCATAAAGAAGTTGGCCTGCCCTAACGATACTTGTGCAGACGTTTGTAGAGATATTGGCCTTGAAGCAGAAAATTCATTTTAAAGCCAATCAATCTCATTCACATACAATACTGTATATTGATTTATGCTGTGTACAAATAGATTTACTGCTTCTAGTTGACTTTTTTTAATATACATTTTGTTCAGTAGTGTGTTCTGAATTCTATTCAGTTTGTTTAATAAATGGGGAAAACTGGCAACGTGCTAGTTACTTTTAATAAAGTAATCCCTGATTCTATACTGAATTTTTATATCTTAGAAGTTTTATATTTATTTAAATATTTACCTTGCTTACCTTGATGGTACTCTTCTAAGACCATTAACTTAAGGTAACTTTACATTGGTAACTCTGAAAGTATTCATGTTGACTCATTATTTTTCCCCATGCATTTCTCACAATAAAATCGTCAGAGACATCTACTAATATAAATGGGAGATTTTACAGTCAGGTCTAATTAGCATAAGATGGAAGTCATTTACTTGTCTTGGTTAATATTTTCAGACCACTTGACAGTGAAAGTTGCCATTTGAGCTTTTGTGTCCCTGGCTTTGCTGAGTAAAGAACAGTGGCTGGGTTCGTGTTTACTTTTCATTTTGTTTAGCAGATAAAATAATACTTCTTTTGGCTTTCTTTGGATTATTTACATCTTTTGTCAGCATAGCAAACTTAGAAAACCTTATTGAAAAATTTTCCTTGATCCTGTTGTATTTTGATTATTCTGTCTGTGCGGCTTCGTCTTGGAATGGTTGTGTGCTACAAATGACACGTACTGAGGACTGCAGTTCGGAATCTCCTAGAGGTAACTTGTGGCTTATAGGATCTTTTGCAACTTTATATATGTAAATGTACCCTGAATTATATATATACACATATATATCATGTACCTGTGTGTATTGCTTACTTTACATATTTATACACACGACCCCAAGTAGTAGTTGTTTAAAATCTGTAATTAAAAATATTAAATTTACAGTAACATGAAAGATCCAGGGATGCATGAGAGAGCATTTTGTAAGTCATGCTCTTCAGAGAGACTACTCAGGTGAAGAATTAGAAGGAAAATAAGGACACTAGTATTTTTAAAAAGTAAAGGTATTTTCTTTTAAATATCTTTGGTAATTGAAAAATAGAGGTTAAGATGTTTCTAGGTATAATGTTTTCATACAGTTTCAGCTCCATGTCTTTATATATTTTTGAAAAGCAAATGAGTATCCAGACATGACTCCTACAGTTCTCTTTGAGAAGCCTGAGAGGGAACTCTGTCTTATTTAGTGAGGGGGATGGAAAAGCAGCGATAGCTCTGTGGACCAGAGAACAGGTGCTAATTATGACTTCACACTTGGCAAGTTCAGCCTGATGTGTTATTTCTTAGACAGTTACAGTTAGCAAACTTTAAAAACTTAACACTCAAGTTGGCTTTGATTAAAAGGTAAAGATGTGTTTTAAGTGGATAAGGAAAGTCTGAGGCCTTATTTGGAACATCACTAAGTCTTCCACAGTTTTTTTGAGAGTTGGCATTTTTTAACAGTTCTGAATCAGTGTCATACATTCATAAAACGAATTCTGTTGATTAGAACTTGGTTGTGCTAAGACAAATCTTGGAGAACAGAAAACAGTTTTTGGGGTCCCTTCAATTGGCTATTGGTTTATATGCATCTAGCACATTGAAGGAGAACTAGAAATTGTCTTCCCACTCAGTAGCTGCCTTGCCACCTCATTATGGTGCTCCATCCCCTTTGTGCTTAGGTTTTTACCTTTCATCTTTCTCTTTGCCATTGATGTTTGTATTCAAGAGTTATATTTTTAGGGTTAGAAATCAAAATATTTGGTGTTTGGCAAGCCTCTGAAGTGCTAGACTGACTTAGTCTAGTTTTAAATCAAGTGCTTTAGGCAGGTGTGAACTCTAGCCTAAATGCCCGTCAAAGTCAAGGCATGGGTTTTTCCTAGCCTATCTCATAGCAAATTCCTGTACCTTCTTGGCCCACATAATGTGCTGGTTTTTTTTTTTTTTTTTAATGAACTTAAAATTATATGATTTGTAATTCATTGCCCTGCGATTCTTGAAAGCTCTGTCTGTTTTTTTGTGAGAACCTTTAAAATCTCCCTTGATTTTTATTTTTCCCAGAAGTAATGTAAAAACACTTAAATGAAAGTGGAAGTGTATTAATTTTAAATCCTATAAAATTAATACAGAAAATATAAATGATTGGGTCATTTAACTATATTTTTTTAAATAAACTGAAAGATAAAGAACACAACACTTTACACATTTTATATTTCTCTTACATAGTCTGGAATCATACACAGTTCTTTTCTTTTTAAAGCACAATATTAAAACCTTTAAAAGGTATTTAAGGGTCTGGTCAAGTGAATATGATAAAACGTATTTGTCTGTATAAAGAGAAAATGAAATTGTAGTCACTGTTATGTACTGACATTAGTTACAACCTAGTTTTAATTCTTAAAACAATTTTGATTAGCAAAGCTAAAAAGACAAGGATGCTTCAGTTAAAATGTTTTAAAGAGGTACAGATTTTTACAAGGACATAATATAAGTTATTGTTCTGTAGAAATATCCTATTAAATATTGTATGTCCCTCCCTCTGTATACTTTGTAAAAAAAGTAAAATACATAAAAAGAAAATCATATAGGGATGTGTGACATTATTGTAATTGTGTACTTGAGAATAACGTGCAAAAATAAAAATCAGAATATTTTCCTGTTATTGAATGTTTAGTCTATTTGATACCAGTACTAAGTTAATGATTTTTCTTAAGGAAAAAAATGTACAGTTTTTGTAAACCTAATAAACATCAAAAGCAGTGGATTATTTTCATCCCCCCCATTTCTTAATTCCTTTTACGCAGCAGTGGAATGCAAAGTGCTCGATTGCTTTGAATTTTGTGACTCAGATGCAAATACTGGTAATATTTCAGTCCTGTGAATTTGCAAGTAGTATTTCAGAGAAGAGGTGATTGGTGAGTCCTTTGATGAGCATGTCCTTGGAATTCATTTTTTCTTTTATCTTCATAAAGGATCTGTTTTATTAGCATCTCCAATTCCTCTGAGATGAATTACCTATGCATAAAGTGGTTTTTGAGAGCACTTAAAGTTCATTTCAGTATTAATTCACAGCATATTTAATCAGTGGGAACTGTAACCACCTCCACAGCAGAAATCGTGCCCTCAAGTTACCCCTTTGTGCCCAGTTTAGAGGACTCTAGTAGACGCTAACATACTAGAGAGTGGTCATTGCTGCAGTTAAAAATAGGCAGTTAAGTAAATGTCAGGAGTCAAAAGAGATAGAGTTGTGCCATCTTTGGTTTTATAGACAAGATTCTGCAGTTCTTCCAACTGTATGAGCAAGCAAATGTTTGCCTAACAATTGAAACAGTAAATCAGAATTTTAGGTAAATGACCAAGGGAATGTGGTGATGAATGTCACTGTCCAGAGCCATAAATCGGACAAAACCATAGCATGCTGAAAAACTTAAGTTGTAATGGAACGTCCAACAGATGATACCTAACCTGTCTGTGATCCCAACCAGTCAGATAATGTGCATCTGTATTACCTGGAAATCTCAGTATTAACAATTGCATTTCACACAAATTCTAGCATTCATGTAAGGAAAAACATGGCTAATCAATATCTTAAAGGGGGGGCAATCTTTCAGAGCAGTGGTTTTCAAAGTGTGGCCTGCAGCATTGGCAGCATCTTAATCTCCTGGGACTTTGTTAAAGATGCAAATTCTCAGCCCCATGCTAGTCCTACTGAATTGGGAAACTGGTGTGCGACCCAGCAATCTTTGTTTTAATATGTTCTCCAAGTGATTCTGATGCCTGTTAAAGCTTAGGAAACTTTTAGAGCACTTGAGGAACCTAAAAGATGACTGGTTCAACATTTAGTGTGGTAGATGAGAAAATCACAAAAAAAATCAGAAATGAACAGTGGGAGAAGAATAGGACCCAGACGGTAGTTTATACCTTCGGTTTGCTGTTTTAAAAGTGTGAGCCTGCCAAGTCAACAAGTATATATCCTTTAGCACACATGTAAATAGCCTGCACTTCCTAAATCTTGTGTGGCCTCCCATAGTTACATTCCTTAAAGGTAAATTGGGTTCAGAGGAAGTTTCAGCATTTAAAAGAGAAGGGCTGAGAAAGATTTGTGTGTTTTAATTGGCCCAGGGTTACTTAAGGAAATCATTATCGAAAAAACCATTTTGCCACATTCTGCAACTGTTTGAGGTCAAATTAAGTTTACCCTATGGATTTTGTTTCATCTTTTGTTTCGTGTATATATTGTTTGCCTTTTTCATAAAAATCTTGGATTTGTTATATATTGTTCCTGTTATTTTTGACATCTTTCCTATTGTAAATAAATTACTATTTTGTTTTAAGTTACCCTAGTGGAGTGTTGGCTATAGACAAAGTATACATGCACACTCAAAATGAGAAGGCTTAAGTCACACAGTTAATGAATTCCCAAGTTGTTCAAAGCTGGAGGTGATTGATTGACTCCCTTCAGTAGTTTAGCACCAAGGAACATACACTATTGTGTATAGGCAAAGCATCTGCACCGACTTCAATTTCAAAATCATTTTCTGACTTCTGCGATGGAAATACTCAGTCCATCAAGTTTGAGGCCAAAATCAAGAATACTTGGTTTTTCCTATTCAGTTGGTCTCCCATATTACTTGTATTGCTGGTATTGGTGGACACAAAGGATCTGGCATTATAGTGACCTGTCAAGACTGGAAAGCCACTAGGAGACTTGGCTCCTGAAAACCTGCTCAGGACTTCTAGATGTCTTTGGCTATGTGAGCTACCACAGAAGTATCTAAACACATTGACTAAATTATAGAATAGTTAACTAGACCTATGTTATTTTGCTTTCTAAGAGGCCAGCTTCTGCTTGTCCTTCATGCTTGTATTTGACTTTATTATTTTTTTTTGAGACGGGGTTTCACTCTTGTCCGCCCCAGGCTGGAGTGCAGTGGCACGATCTTGGCTCACTGCAACCTCAGTCTCGTGGGTTCAAGCGATTCTCCTATCTCAGCCTCCTGAGTAGCTGGGATTACAGGTGTGTGCCACCACGTTCGGCTAATTTTTGTATTATTAGTAGAGACAGGGTTTCACCATGTTGCCCAGGCTAGTCTTGAACTCCTGACCTCAGGTGATCTGCCCGTCTCGGCCTCCCAAAGTGCTGGGATTACAGGTGTGAGCCACCACACCCGGCGTATTTGACGTTAAATGTAGAACCCATTTCCTTTTGTCTGAGATTCTTTGAAATAAGGGGGTATTGCAAAGCCATCTGTTGGGGTTTTGAAAGTTCTAGTCACCTATCCTCCCCTCTTGAGTTCTAACCACATTGAAAATAGACCACAAGAAACCACCAACTGAGATTGTGATTTATTCTAGTAAGACTGGACTGGGAGACCCAGAGGCTGAGATGAATCTGTTTCCAATCTATTTCCCTCCAATGTAGGCTTTGACTGATGTAGCCAGTCATTTGAAGGCATGGGGCCTACCTTCCATTCCTCTGTGAGCTATCGAGAGACTAGTTCATCAGAGAAAGGGAGCATCTACCCCAGTCCTCCCAGGCTAGGACCCAGGAAAAGGGGGAGAAGAGTTCCCATACATCATCCTAATAAACGTTAGTCCAATTCTGGATTACCCTCTGGTATTAGCACAACAGCAACGTGATGTTTTTGCCATTAGCCTTGCATATTTGTGTCCACTTTTATTGATTTTTACTGTTACCCCTTGAAGTGGTGATTGTGGCAGACCTTCTAAAGTTCCTTCTTCTTTCAAGGCAGTATAGTTTGGTTGTTCTTCAGAAAATTAATTTTTAAAGGGCAAATGTACTTACTATACAAAGATGGAAATCTTGCAAGTTATTTTTATTGCATGCTTTCATAACAAAAATCAGGAAGATGATCACCCACAAGGCCACCTTCTGTATTAAAGGGATTGCTTGTCTTTGTTCTCTTCCAATCTTAGTCCATACACATAAATCTTTTATCTGTCTTGTAACCACAGTTTCAGTTCTATTCTGGGTTCAGCGATTTTCTTTTCAAACATCAAATGTAATTCACGTGTCTACACCAATATATGGGAGAGTTTGTTCCCCTCAGCCTTACAAACAGTGAGTGTTACAGCTAATCTCACAGGTTAAAAAAATAAAGAATATGTCATCGCTGTTTCACTTTGCTTTGACCAGACTCCTAGTGGAGTTTAATGCTTTTATGTATCTAATAGCACTTTAAGTTGTCCCTCTGATAAATTGCCTGTTCATATCCTGTGCCCCATTTTCTATTTGGAGTTATTTGTACATTAAGCGTATTAACTTTTCTAATACATTTGCTGCACATTTTTGTAGTGTATGATTTATCTTGTTATTGCTTATGTAATCTTTTCATATATAAAAAGCTTTAATATTTGTGTAATGTTTATTTTTTCCCTTTATGATTCCTGGTGTTTCTTGTTCTGCTTAAAAAGGTCTTTTCTACCCCAAGGTTCTGCAAATATATGCCTAGGTTTTTTTCTATATTTTTATTGTTTTGTTTGGATTTTTATGTAATTAAAATTATTTTGTTTAGCAGATCCAGTGGTGATTTAAAAAATTATTTTGAAAAATTACCTGGACAAGGTGGCTATGCTCCTGTAGTCCCAGCTACTCTGGAGACTGAAGTGGGGGGATCACTTGAGCCCAGGAATTCAAGGTTATGGTGAAATATCATGCCACTGCACTCCAGCCTAGGTGACAGAGCGAGACCCCATCCCCCCAAATTTTTTTTTCAATATATTGTTTTGTAGGGACTCTAATTTCTGTTTTCTCTTGGTTAGGGAGCCTCCTATTCCAGTATTGTTGATGAAGTAAGTCATCCTTTACCCTCATGAACTGAAATGACACTTTATGTGGTCACCATCTATATCCTTGGATTTATTTCTGAAGTCTTTCGTTTTACTGATCTGTTTGTCATTTTTGTGCCAATGCCATATTGTTTTTCTCACAGGACTCTGGTGAACCAGAGGCAAGTTCCTCTTAAGTTCTATTCTTTTTCATAGTTTTCTTGACACTGTATAGGAACATGAAAATCATTTTACCCAGTTTCCTTTAAAAGCCATTGGGATTTTTGATTTAGATTGCATGCAGTTTTTTTGTTGTTGTTGTTTGTTTTGATTTTTGTTTTTTAAGATGGAGTCTCGCCCTGTTGCCCAAGCTTGAGTGTAGTGGCAAGATCTCGGCTCACTGCAACCTCTGCCTCCTGGGCTCAGACGATTCTCCTACCTCAGTCTCCTGAGTAACTGGGATTACATACAGGCATGCTCCACCACGCCCAGCTAATTTTTGTATTTTTAGTAGAGACAGGGTTTCACCATGTTGGTCAGGGTGGTCTTGAACTCCTGACCTCAGGTATTCACCCGCCTTGGCCTCCCAAAGTGCTGGGATTACAGGTGTGAGGCACCATGCCTGGCTGAGACAAATATTAATTAGTTTGAATATTAATTTAACTCTAGCTCTAAAAGATAAACTCGAAAACTTTTCCATAATTTCCAATGGTTTAAAAACTAGAAGCATTATCTAATTTTTGAAGATTAGGTAGAACTCAGTTGTGAAAGCATTTGGGTCTGATGCCTCTTTGTAAATGGTAGGTCTTGGGGTCAGGCGGTGATGGCTTATGCCTGTAATCCCGACACTTGGTGGGCAGATTACTTGAGGTCAGGAGTTTGAGAACAGCCTGGCCAACATGGTGAAACCCCATCTCCACTAAAAATACAAAAATTATCTGGTCATGGTGGTGCACCTGTGGTCCCGGCTGCTCGGGAGGCTGAGGCAGGAGAATTGCTTGAACCCGGGAACACAGGAGGCAGAGGTTGCCCCTCAGTCTCAAAATATAAAAAAAAATAAATAAAATTAATGGGAGGTCTTTACTTTTGTGATCTGTTCTACATTAATTAGCCCATCAGCTTTTCTTAAGATTTGGTATCTTCGAAAATCATCCATTTTCTCTAGATAAATACTACTCATTTATTAAATGCATATGCATCATCTGGGGAATGTTGTGAAAATGCTCATTTTGATTCCGTCAGTCGGGAGTGGGGCTTGTGATTCTGCACTTCCTGCAAGCTCCCTGGTGATATTGATGCGGTGGTCCATGGACCACACAGTCTGAGCCTAGGAATTCAGTGATTCTCAATTTCGGTAATAGAATCACATGGGGCAGCCTTTGAACTTCCCAGAGCCCAGACCACACCACAGACGAATTAAATTAGCCTCTGGGAATGGGTCTCAGACAGTAATTTTTCAGGTTCCTCAAGTTACAATCACTTTGTAATCACTTGAGGAACTTGAAAAATTACTGTCTGAGACCCATTCCCAGAGCGTAGCCAAGACTTGAACTACTCTTCTAGATTTACAGTTTATTGCCATAGAAATACACACAGTATTTTAAATTATTTAATAGTCTTATTTTATTCTCTCGCATTTCTGGTTGCGTCTCCTTTCTCATCTTAAATGTTTTCCTTCCGTCCCTCCTTCCCTCCCTCCCTTCCTCTTTTCCTCCTCTCCCTCCCTTGCTCCCTCCCTTGGCAGAGTCGTGCTCTGTTGCCCAAGCTGCAGTGGTACGATCTCGGCTCACTGCAACCTCTGCCTCCGAGGTTCAAGCGATTCTCCTGCCTCAGCCTACAGAGTAGCTGGGATTACAGGTGCATGCCACCACGCCCAGCTAATTTTTGTGTTTTCAGTAGAGACGGGATTTCACCATGTTGGCCAGGCTGGTCTCGAACTCCTGACCTCAGGTCATCTGCCTGCCTCGACCTCCCAAAGTGCTGGGATTACAGGCTTGAGCCACCACACCCGGCTCATATTTCTTTAAATGGCTTTCAGAGGTTTTGCTATTTCATAGGTAGTGTCAAAGAAACTGCTCTTTTGTTTATGTTTTTTGGTTTTGTACTTAATTTTATCTTTTGTTGTTCTTTTCTTTTTTTTTTTTTTAAGACAGGGTCTCACTCTGTTGCCCAGGCTAGAGTGCAGTGGTGTGATCATAGCTCACTGCAGCCTTGACCTCCTAGGCTCGTGATCCTCCCACCTTAGCCTCTCAAGTAGCTGGGACCACAGGCACGCACCATCATACCCAGCTAAGTTTCGTATTTTTTTCTTTTGGCAGAGAGAGACAGGGTCTTGCCACGTTGCCCAGCCAGGCTAGTCTTGAATTCCTGAACTCAAGCTATCCACCTGCCTCCTGCTCCCAAAGTGTTAGGATTACAGGCATGAGCCACCCTGCCTGGCCTATTTTCTTCTGGCATATTTTGTTATCTAATTAAAATGTCTGATGTTTTATTCTTCATTAATTTTCGTTTATTTTTAAAGAAATCCTTGAAACCTGTATATTTC